GATTGCAGTAGTATAGATTTAGTCTGGCAAGATTCTGTCTATAAGGTATAATTAGATAAAGGAACTTAACTCAAATGGACTGTTTCACCATTGTTCCTGGGCTGGGCCTGACAGCTATTCACTCCACATTAGCCCATACTGGCCTCTCTACCAACCAGCCTCCTCTTCCCCCATCTGGGAAAGTGTCTGCCCTTCCCTCAATCATGGCCATGTTTCTTCTGCCCTCTCAGTTGTCCTTTTCATCTTGGGCTTCCTGACCATGGTGCTGACTGCTCTCTTTTTCCTACTGAGGCCTCCCAGCTGCACACCCAACCCAATGAAGAACTGGAAGCCCCGATGGAGGAGCTTAGGAGAATATCACATCCCACCAGAGTATGTGCTTATTAAAGAGAGGTGAGTGGTGAAAGCAAGGGGAGCTAGTTAAAAAGCACTGCCATTTGCTGGTAAGCCAGCTCCAAAGTTGCCAGAATATTCTGTTTTAAAAGACTTTAATCTGATGTAACTCCCTCCAGAAAAGCAGAGAGGAAGATGAAAACACACATTTTGGGCTTACTTCTGCTACTTTTAGTATGTCATTTCCTCTAAGGTGCTATTCTCCACCCATATAGTAGTGTAATGGCATGTGGGAAAGACCTTGGGAGTTCATTTTCTTGTCTGGTCTACCTGGGGGCGGGGGGAGGGGGGCGACAATTAGACAGATCACATTTTATTTTAATAACACATTAGCAATATTTGCTCACTCCTCCCCATCTATTAAAGAGCAATGCCTCAAATAGCAGTGAAGGGATGTCCAAGTTTGGATGCCATGGCAAAGAAGTCCACTTTGTATCTTCACGACAAGATTGTGAACCTGGTTCGATATCTCATAGCTGTCAGGGACTCTGCTTTAGTAAAAAAGTAAAATCATAGGACCCTGTGGCTGTAAGGAGCTGTTTAATCTGTCAGGTTGAAACCTGCTCAGTGGAGGAAATCAAATGTGAGCATCCCCAGCAGATGGCTGTCTAATCTCCACTTGAATTCATCCAGTGAAAAGGAGCCCACCCACCGCTCTGGATAATTGGTTCCACTGTCAAATTGCTGTTACTATTGGAAAGCTTCTGTCCTCCTAAGAGTTAATTAGAATCTATAATATTTGCATGGCCAAAGGCACTTCTTTGTCTATCCTTCAGTGCCCAGAAACACTATCTAAAGCATTTTATAGCAATCTAAACATGTGTTCACTACTTGGTTGCATTGCCTCTTGTTATGGAATCTCTGAAAGAGCCATCATAGATTTCACACCACCAGCATGTGCCCAGTTGACAAATATCATGGTTTTTCAGTGGGGTTAGGCTTCTTAGACTGTGACTTACACAGCAGTGCTACTCCTGTGGTTGGATGTATATTTCCCATCTCTCCCTTGTTCTCTTTCATCTGTCATTCAGCCTCCAGGTCAACACAGCCCTTGGATCTGAAAGCTCTGGAGAAGAACTCAATGTCAGAGGAGAAAACTTTCCTGGATTATGTAAGCACCTCATCTGAGGATTAGCATTCCTTGGTAATGGAATATGTAACCTAACAAACAGGTGGTGAAGGTTACATATTTCCTCATCCTATGGGAACCGCCAAATGCTGCTGATTGAAATTTGTTTTTCTCCAGTTCAGACATGAGCAGTAGATCTTGGGCCTTTAAAAAAAAAAAAAACCTATATTCCAAAACTGGTTTCCCAAAACTACTGCAGCAAGGTCTGTCACTTTCTCTCAGAGGAGTTGCAATCCAGCAATCAAATTTCTAAAGGGGAGAAAAAGACAGCTCTCTGCTTGCACCTGGAAATCCAATCCAATCCAATCCTTTCCTTTCCTTTCCTTTCCTTTCCTTTCCTTTCCTTTCCTTTCCTTTCCTTTCCTCCTCTATTTATTTACTTAACAAAGCAAATGAGCACACACACATAAATGCATACATACATACAGGCACTCACACACATACACACAGAGGCATCTTCTGCATGTATACATGTATATAGAGCTTTACATTAAAATTTCCAAAACAAATTACAATTGATTACAAGGTGATAATGATGCATTATGATCAGCTATACATAATCTGTATCTGTAAGCCATTTGTTCATACCTTGAAAGTCACATCAGGTCTTCAGTCTGTTGCATAACTGGGGCCAGGAATTTACCTTTCCAATGTTGAAGAACAAGTCTCTAAGCAATACGAAGGGTGTGGAGAATCCATTTCCATTGTTCAGCTCTTGATTTCCATGCAGTAAGGTTAGATATTATTAATATGATTTTGAAACAGGTTTTAACATTTTTGAATGTTCATATGCTTTTAAAGTGCATACCTGCCATGTGGAAAGTCATTATAAATATGGGATCTCCCTCAAGTGCCTGGAAAAATCTTTGGCTCTGGTGCCATTCTGGTGGTCAGTTCTCTGGAAGTTTTCAGAAACGGTGCAAGGCCTGGTATTCAGACAAGGCAGCAATTAACAGACACATAGAGATTAACAGCATCTACATACTATTCAAAAGAGACAAAAGACCAGAAGATTGCCTCACCAGCAATCAATCACCAGCAATCGCCAGCAATCATCACCGAGATAAGCAAAGGTTACCACCAGGCACACAATCAAGCAGTAAACATATGCTGATCAAAGAACTACCAGAGGAGCAAAACTAAACCCCACCCTTACCAACACTGGCAAGGCAGGCCACAGCACCTAAATAGAGAGCAAACCCCATCCCATTTTAGCACTGAAGATGTTACCTACCTGGGTAATGAAACATTTGCAAGAAAAGAACCAAGCTCAGAGAACCCCAAGGACTCCACCATTCAACCCTGAGCTACACCTATTCACCTCTATTGGTACAGTGCAAGGTGTTTGATGAAAAACAGAGTAGAGCAGGAGGATTTTTTTAGATGGCAGGAGATGCTCAAAAAAGATTAATCCATATACTTGCCATATTTTTTTCTCCATGGTTATAAAGGAATGTAGAGCTGAGCTTGGGGAAGGTATGGGAGAAATATTAAGGGGGAGAAAAAGGAGGAAGCCATTAAAGGGGGACTTGGAGAAAAGGTTGCATAGTCCTGAGATAGAAGAAAGCATGAGAGAGAAACTCAAATAGATCCACCTTAGTTTTGTTTGTTATGAGATGGGACAGGGGCAATTCTGTTCTTCTATCTTATGACAATAATGAGAACGTCTGGAATCCCTGAAGTGTCTGTTTCTTGACCTGGCCTGCTTCAAAGAGCAACACCGTATCCTCCATATGTGTTAGAGCTCATGCCACATGGTCTCCAGTGACCGTGGCGAGCACCAGGTTAGAGAAGGCTGTCTTGTATGAATAATGGTGCTGTTCAAATGTAGTTATTTTCTTAGTTCCTGATGATTTGAGCATTTTTCATCTCCTCTCTGATGGGAATAAAGGTCTGTGAGATCTTCACGTCAACATGTTTGTGATGGTGGTGAAAGAAAGCTTCATCCAGCAGGTGGTAGCATTTCAACTCTTAGGAAAAACCTCTGCTTAAAATATCCTCTAATTCACATTAAGAGAGGAACTTTTCCATTTCCAGAATCATCCTGCCATTTCTATTTGTTCACCTCTCTCTCAGATCTCAGGACCGATCCCTACATTGCATTTTAAATCACCTATCAAGTGCTTCAAGAGTACTTTTGGAACTGTAGATGTTTTTAAAGTGTGGCAAGTTCTGAGAATATGCTGATCATGGAAATTCTTGTCCTTTCAGATTATACCTAATCTTACTCAAATTAAAGTCATTCTTATAAATTGCAACAGTAAGAAGCAAAAATTTAATATGAGCCTGTTCTGTAGAGTTGAATATAAGCTGAACAGCTCACTATTTTGAAAACATTTCACGGCCATCTAATAATCATGGATGATTAATACTTTGCACAGTCTCTGACCTGTAATGTGGCTTTCTGAATACAAAGTTAGATCAGATTTTGACATATTTGATCAATGTTTTGCAGAATGTCCATCTAAAAATTGGCATTATCTATGCAATCTTCTTGGCATTCTACTTTCAAAACCCGATTCCCAGGTATATCCAAGTTTCCTACCACAACAACCTTAGTATGTGGGGCAGGGGAGGGTGGGGAAGGGAGGATAGGTTAAGGTGGAAGAACAATGCAACTGAGAATGGATCTGAAAGCTTGCCTCATTCATTTCGTCATTTCTTCATGTCCTGTCCTGTTCTTGAAGGTGATAAGAAACCAGTATCGAATGTTTTTTCTTTCAGGTGGCAATCAGATCACAATAAAACATCTGGAAGACTTCAGTGTTCGCACCTTGTATGACAAGCTAGAAGACCAGAATTTACATCTGGCATCACAGCTTGCAAAACACCGGGCTGAAGTTTCAGTGTTTTATCGAGGGATCAGTCAGAAAATTCAAAGCCTTTGGGTCAGTATTTTGAAGTAGGAAGCATATGTTGTTCCCCACAAGAGCTGGCAGCTCTGGAAAGTGCTATCCAAAACATCAGGAAAGGTCATAATTAAGCAAAGTTGCAATGGCAGGCTAGCATAGAATCCAGTGCAAGCCATGATGATGTCTTGTGGACCATGACATCATCACATACATGTTACAAATTATGATTATGGAACTTGCATTATTTGCACAATGATGTCATGATGCTGGTAATGTCACTCCCTTCCCCCTTTACCTGTGGATGCCCATAAGAGCCACAGAAACAAGCAATTTGGCTAGAATGCAACATCATAGTCCTTGGTTTGCTAAAGGGGGCACTTTTGCCAGGAAACTAAATCAGTTGGTGAGGCAGGACAAGCTCCAGGATATAAGGTAGAGTTACAGTAATACACACGCATACATAATCTTATTATTGTTCTTTGTATAAGGAGCAAAATATTGTTTTCTGTTTTTAGGATATGATACAAGCAGTGGATTTGAACAAACTGAAGGGTTCCGAAAAAGGCAAGGTTTTGCATGAAAGAAACCAGGTCACCTTCATCTCAGATAAGGAGACCCAACAGAGTGAAAATTCTCCAGCTAAATTGTCAGGAGTCTTGAAAGCAATGGGCTACTCAGGTGGGAAATTCAGTTAATTCATGTTACAAAGACCCATCAGTTTTCTAGTATGCTCCAGACAATTCATCCCATTTAAATTCTGTCTATAATGGGATGGGGGAGGGGCGGTTAAATATTTTATTAAGCCACATTGTCCATTTCCATCGGTGAAATCTCCCCATGATGCAGCATACCAAATATATCTTCCTTCCCAGGAAATGTTCAAGGGAGTAAATACTGTTTCTTTGCGTGTTTAGAGGCTGCTACCCAAATCAACCCAGTTGATTTGCTGAGTTTTGTCTTAGGGGCTGAGTGGCAGGAGGCAACTGAGTTAATGAAAGTCCTGGGAATTTTGCTGCAAAAAATCCAGCATCAGAAAGTAGCAATGAAACAAGAAAAGGCCCACAAACATGATGATGCTGAGGATCCCAGACTGGACAAAGGAAAACAGGCTGCGGCTGAGAAGCAATGCATGGTAAGAATGAAGGCTTTCCTGTGAGAACCTTTGCTATCCTCCCCACTAGGAGATGGCAATTCTTTAAAATTGTATCTCCCCTCCAGGACACCCATTTTCTGCAGCAACTCTTGCTGCCCAGTGAGATAAGTCCCTCCTCCTCCCATTGGTGTGAAGATGAAGGTAAGGGTTTTTCATCTGGTCATGAAGCATCCATTGTCTTCCAGATGTCATTAGACTCCACCTGTCACCTAGAAAAGCCCATGACTGAGTGGAGGCTGTTCCATCCTTGTTTGGTTTAGCCTTGTTTAGTTGTCCAATATTAATGAAATGCCTCTGATCTGCCAGTTGGTGGCAGCAAATGTTTTGAAGTACCAGAACCTCTATATTTGTCCCAAGTACATTTTTAGATAATGTAGATCTCCCACCTGATTAAAATTGTCCCACATCTGTGTGGCCATCAGCATGAAACAGTCAATTTTCTCTTCAAGCCTTCAAGCATGATATCCATAAACTCAGATACCTTGTTTGTCCAGCAGGTATGGATCCACAGCTCCACAAGAACATCCTGTTTGCTTGTGTGAATGAGCTGCAAGTGGAGGCCCTAATAGCAACTTCTCCCCTTGCCAACACCCTATGTGAAATCAAACATTTTCTGGAGGAAACACACCAGCACCCTTGCTCTTTTCCTTTTCCAGGTGATGAAGTGGATCAAGTCTTGCATCTCAGTCCTATTACTGCTACCCAAAATGCGTTCTCCTTGATGTTGAGTTGCTAAAGTTGAGAAACACTGCTTTACACTATACTTTGCTTCTCTTCCCACCTCAGAATAGCAAGGAACTCTGGCCAGCAATCATGGCCAGAGGTGCCTCTGGAGGCTGCAAAACAAGGCCCAAAGACCACATGCTTTCCTGGGATTGCAAGTTCCCTGCCATAAGATATTCATGAAAATAGGGTTGCATAGGAGTTAAAGTTGTTTACAACTTCCGAGTTAGCAATGTTCAGAGAGAGCAACTGTCTGAATCATGGAGATGAATGCATGGAAGGTATAGGACCATTTCATGCTAGTTTACACACAATGTGGGGATGGGGGTGGAGCAAAATGGTGAAGTGGAAGCACCTAATTATTAGAGTGTTTTGATAGATACCCTGATTTCTCATTAGATCAATTAATTTTCCCTTTGCTGTAATCCACTGGATTTTGAATTCAACTCTATACAACTAAATTTCAATTAATATCAGATGAGAACCTTATTCATATTCCTCTGTGCATGAAAAAGATAACAGGAATGGGAAGGAGGAAGAAATGGCAGAAAGTGAGCCCTTATGTACTCACAATGCTAGAAGAAGCTTTGTGGACTTTTGATCTGATTATAATCTAATATGTTGAATGTAGGGCTAGGAACTCAATCCGCCTCTCAATCCAGTTCAGTTTTATTAAAGGAGCTAGAGCAGATTGGATGCTTATAATCCATAACATCCCTTGGAGGGGGTTCACTAGGACTTCTGGAGATAGCTACTCATTCAGCAAGCATGTGGGAGAATAGCTCTCTGTATATAAGATTATTTTAGGAGGTACGAAAGCCTGGGAGTCTTAATAGATTGAGGGTTTCAGAGATAGATGAATTAAATTAATTCCAACCCCTGTCATTGTCATCCCAGGAGCAAGGGGAAATGATGACAACCATCTTTCTACTGGCTCCAGCAACAGTACCTTGATCACCACAAACATAGCCAGTTTATCACCTCAGCAATTTGTGGTTTATCGTTTTGGCTGCACCGTGGCACACCTGATGGGAAGAGTCTTCTCTTTGCCAGCGCTGGTACTTCTGTTGGCTGAAGCAATCCCTCAACAACACTCCATGGGAGATCAGAAGGCCACCTGGCTCACCAAAGATTCGTACTACGATGCTAACAACCATTTCCTGTACATTCTTTCATCCCATCTGGACAATGCTGGGGTATTTGTGGCAGTGTTGCTGAATGCCATGGCCAGCATCAAAGCAGGTATAATTCTGAGGTATTATGAGCTTAGATGATTGGTGCCCCCAACTTTCTTAACTCTAGCAAGCAGAGTATCTCCAAGGCTTCAGGGACATCCATCTAACCTTCAGCAGCAGTTAGAAAATGAGGCTGCTGCTGCTGCTGCTGCTGCTGCTAACAGCAGCTCTGAACCAGTTTTTCTCTCTCCTCTGGAACATCTAGTTTCACCTTCTACAACATGATGCTGGCCAAATGTGATGGAATTTCAACTTTGGTGATGCTCAGTTGCACCCACTTCTTGACAATACCAGATTAAGGAGAGCTGGCTTGATTTAATTTGTCCCCTTCCTGTTTTCTGTCTTTGCTAACTAATGATTCAGAGTGGAGGTGGAAAAATTGCTTTCACCACATTTGAATGCCATAAAAATGTGAATATTTTGATATTATCTAGACGGAAGTAGAAATGAACACAGAGCTGCCAATCTGAGCAGGAGTTTCTTTCACTTTATGTGTCATTCCACCCTGAAATCCCTTAATTATAGTTACCATGAAGCACAACCCAGTACTGCCAGTTTTAGATGTTAGATTATTACCTTATAATATGGAGTCCTGCCTTGAGATCCTTTAATTGCAGAACCATGGAGTTTAACACAGGGATTTCGTTTCTGGTAACCATCACCTCCATACTATAATGTGTATTTTTGTACTGTAGCCTGAGATCCTTTAATAGGACATGCTATAGATTGAACCAAGGACTATAAAATACAGTGCTGGCAAATTATTGCCACACCAAGCTCATCCTAAGCTATTCTACCCTTTGATTGATTTACTGGTGTTCTCTACATATAATTAGATCCAGGGATTACTTCTGAATTCTATTTAGGCAACTGTCCTCTATTGCTGGAGTTTCTGTAACTTGCTCATCCTCTGCTATCTGCTTTGCCTCTTAGGTAACATTGGAAACAAAAGACAAGTCACTCGCTTGGCACACTTCCTTTGTCTATTCATGAGCTCTTCTGGAATCCTCTTTTCACTATTCCACAACTTCAGTTAATGAAGGTCTCAGTGTCCCTGTAAATGCTTGAACTCAGGAGTAACATTGCAGGAAGTTAAATGGGATGGAGGAATTTCAGTGAGAATAAAAGGCACTGCCCAACCCAGTGAAGCTGTAATTGTGTGCATATTAACTCAGAAGTAGGTCCCACTGAGTTTAATGAATTCATTCTCAAATTAGTATGGGGTTCAGCTTTGGGGGCATATTTGAAATGTTGAAGGTTATCATGGACAATCTTGTCAAATAGTTCCATGGATCTATGTTCAATCACAAAATGCTCAATCCTTAGAAAAAGAGGTGAGTTTGCTCTCTCCTACTCCTTTAGGTGTTTGGGAGGTTGCTTTCTACCACCAGCCACCTTACATTCATGTATTTGTAGGGCACAGGGCATGCTTCCAAACTAAAAGCATAGACCCCCATCATAGATTTAAAAATGGCACTTATGTGGAATCCTGGAAATTAAGAAAGGAATAGGAGCTAATGTTTGGCAGCCTGCTAGCTTTGCATTTAGTAAGTCAATTAGATATCCTTTAAACATTTTTAGAGGCTGGTGGGACACAGAGCCTGGTAGGCACTAGAGGAAGTATGCACATGGAGACCCACAAGTGCTCTTTGGTTCCGCATTGGAGATCCCAGAGTGTGGCTGTATGTTCCATTGCTCTCTAATTAGAAATTTAAGGATATCTATCCCATGGGCTTTGGGGTGAGCAATGGGTATCCAGTTTTTGTACATTGGGGTCCATGTACTCAGCCATTGTCATTTATTCTCCTCTGTATCCGGTGTTTTTGCTAGAAAATTCTTATTTGACCGAGAAGGCTGCAAGAATGAAAGCTGGGGGAAAGGGCCAAGTGAAGTCAAGAGGTAAAGCTGTGAAACGTCAGAGCCATTATGTTTTGAAAGTGGCCTTGGAAACTGATTCTTATAGGAGTAAGAAGTTAACCCTGGAGGATGAAAAGAATTCCAGTGACATCAACCTGTTTTCTTTTAATTTTTGTACCAGGCCCTATGCAAGCCAACCACATAATCCCTGGATTTTTGAAAGAGCTCAACAAAGCCATCACAGCTCTAGCAGATGCTTTTTTCCACTGTTCTTGGGGAGCAGTGGAGATGACAGAGAAGGTAAATAAGTCCATAGCAGTTCCAATTGGATGACCAAGCTGCAGTAACTTTAGTAATGTAATGGTATGTGAGAAAGACCTTGAGAAACGGAGCAAAGAGATGCTGCCTAGGGAACAGTCAGATAAGAGAGGGCGTAGCCTGCAATTGCATAATGGATGGAGAAAGAGGCTCAGAAGGGACCCTCCCTAGCTTCTCAGGAGATGGTGGGAGATTTGTACTTTCAGACTTGCAAGATTCTGCTACTGTAGCCTTACAATGAAGTAGAATTAGCTCCTCTGGTCATGTTTCCTGTCTAGTCTACTTGGAAAGGCTGAGAAGTGATGAAGATCTTGGGTTAGGGTTAGGGAGATCCAGGTTCAAGTTCATCCTAAGCCATGGGTGCTCATTAGATAACTTTGGGCTGGTTATCTCTCCTCAGCCCACTTCACAGGGATGTTGTGAGGATAAATTAGGGACCATACACCTTGAGCTCTCAGTGGAAAGGAAATATCCAAATACGATAAATAAAGAATATTCTAAAACTCATGGACTCATCTAGGAACCAATTATACTTGATTCCCCCTTTTTATCATTGTGGAAAATTTGGAATGATGATTCAGGGGTTACCCATAGGTATGTGTGCATGTGTGTGGAGCTAGCAATGGTGGCATGCACTAGAGACTTGATGTCCCCTTGCTACCTTGTCTCCTCTTTGCAGGAATCCCTAGAAAGGGTCCTCCTCTTGGTGTCCTCCTGCTGTAGAATCCAGCAGGTGGCATCATCACCAAGCTAGCATTGGCTGATCTTGAAAACCTGAATGGGGACAGACCTGGTTAGCCCTTGGATGGGAGGCTATCAGGAAATCCCACAACTGTAGGCTAGACCAGGATTTTTTTTTTTTTAAAGCAACCCCAAAAGAAGGCCTTGACAAATCACTTCCCCAATATTGCCAAGAAATTTACATGGATGTATTCATGAAGTCACCAGGAGCTGAGGTCAACATAGAGCAGACTTACCTTTCTAATACCAGACATAGGTGGGTCCTTCCATTGCTATAAGCATCAGTGAAGAAACCTGGCCTGTTCAGTTTGGAAAACCGAAACATAGGTCCTTGTAGAGTGATGAGCCATCCTTGGCATTCCCATTTGTGAATCTGACTCATTTCAGAAAAGGAGCTGAGCCACATCTGTTTACTGATTTTTACATTAAATTGCTTTTGAATCCTATGTGAAGACAGTGAATTACAGGAAAATCCAGAAAAAGAGAAAGGGTGGTGATTGCACAGGACTCCAGCGAGTACGTTGAAAGTTTATTTGTGTTACTGTTACGTTCAAACCTTGGCTATGCATAGGAACACATATATAGTTTCAAAGCATCTAAATGATAAGATTTTCCCAAAACAACAGCGAAGGCTTTGGATGCTCAATTTTCACCCTCTTGGTAAGTCCTCTTAAAGTTGTACACTCCTTGCTTTTGCACTTTCTTTCAGAAATCTGTGCAAAATTACTCACCACTTTGTTTAGCTGCTCGGTTGAGTTTTGAAGAACTGTTGAGTGTTCAGATGTGGTCCAGGCTTGGCTCCCTTGAGAGAGATCCAGAAGAAAGGTACTTGAAATTGTTTGAATTAGATTAGTAGTTCAACCTTATGACAAATACATCCTTCCTGAGATCCTCTGAGAGATCTCTCAAGCTCCCTTGAAAGAAAGGTGCTTGAAATTGTTTGGATTAGATTAGTAGTTCAACCCTATGACAAATACATCATTCCTGAAAAATCCTATTCTCTTCTTCCTCCTGTGCATGCTTAAGTAGCCCAACCCTGATTAACAATTTTCATCCTGAGAAATTGCCATGTGTGATTCAATGCATGCACTCCAAACAGGGCACCTTTGCTTTTGTTTTCATTGCATCATGGAAATAATTACCAAATCCAAGACCATCCCATTTTTGTAATCAGTACCCCACTTATCACTACAGACTGTCAGAGTGGGGCATCAAAACAAAAGGAGGCGTCTGCCAAGTCCAGCAGGGAGTGTCCTGGACTTTGATCTCTGTCCAAAAGGAACTTGGAAACTGGAAGCCAAACGCAGCCACCAGTGTTGCACTTGGAAGCTACTCCACAAGCAATGATGGATGTTAAAAACTCCTCCTTATTTTAGCCTATGATGCAGTCTAAAAACAGGGAGGTCCAGGCTGTCTGACCCAGATCTAAAGGAGAAAGCCAGCATGTTGGCAGGCTCAGTGATCTGGCAGAGTACTCAGATTGCAAGGAGCAAGCATTTCTTTATTTAAGAGCATTTATATCCTCTTAAATAAAACTGTAATGCACAGAAAGGGTCACGCGTCTTTGAGGGACATGAGAATAGGCAGAAGAAATCAGAAGATCTGGCCCTTGCATGGAGAGGTGAACATGCATTATATTAGACCTGATCCATTAATTTTCAAAGAAATTCTCTAAGATGACTGGAGCTGAATAGGGCACACTGAAGTAGATTTAAAAAAAAAAAACAGACAGCAACAACATACAAATTATTTCTAGTTAATATCAACTCTTGGTACCAGAACTGGAGCAGAAGACAATCCACCAAGCAACATGGATGTCCTCTTCACTTTTTAGGAAATCCAGAGCATAAAGCATATATGTAATACCCTCTTTTATTTATTTATTTCTTAATTTATCATATTTATATAGCCGCCCATCTCACCCAAGGTGACTCTTTTACTTGTGCCATTGAGGGGATATCAATTTCCTACAGGTATTTGCCCACTGGGTTCCAAGTAGTACAGGGCTGGAGTCATTACACTTAAAAAAAACCATATGTGCATTGGCTTCCTGTGAGCCAAGATCCTGAAAATGCAGAATCATGGTTCATGTGGAAGCCAATATGCATATTTTCACAGATGTGAAGGCTGTTCTTCTGCAGATGTTCAGACTTTAAGCAAGAAATGTTTTGTTCCCCTGCTTTGACTAGAAGCCACCTGTATGTGCACCATAGTATATGGCAGGCAGATCACTCCTTGCTTTTCATCCAGCAAGGTGGTTTCATGTAAATAAATTTGCCTCTGACAATTGGAGAAAAGAGTGGCCACTCCTAGATCCAGTCAGTGCTTGGACAGTTGGATTCTGCTAGAACTGCACCCAAGATAGCTTTCTTTCTCCATCCTTCTCCATCCTTCTCCTAGCATAGTAGGTTTGGGTGAAGAAGAGTCAATGAACAACAGCTGCCTCCTCTCTTCCTAGAGAGGACATCTCAACCCAGGATATATAGACAAGCTTATCAGGAGAGGAAGAAGAGAACATCCAAACACTGCAGCCAAAGACTATGCTTAACAACAATAACATTTTAGCATGCAATTTGGTCCTACAAACATGCAGAATCTAAAGGGATAGCTTGTGTCCCAAGCTAGTGAGTTTCACCTCAATTCATATTGAAACTATACAAAAAGACCAAAGTTCCCACGTATCCTGCCAATAAATTGAAAGATTGCTCTTGGGCTTCTGTGCAGAATAACCAGAATGCAAGTGGAAGAAGATAGAAATCTGACATTTACCTTTTTCCTATCTCTCAGGTTGCAAAAGGGCACAGCTTTCCAGCTGCAATCAGAGTTCCAAAACATATTAGAAAAATCAGAACAAAATGGAAAGGAGGTAAGTAGCAATAGAAAATAGAATCAGGAAGGACATTCTTCTGGTCTCCAGATATTTTGCTTTTGCAGAAGCTCATATATTCAATCACAAGATCAGAGAACTTGTGGTCCATCAGATGTTGCTGAATTATAACTGCCAGCACCTTTTATCTTGGATCATGCTGATCAGGGCTATGTGGAGTGTGATTCAATGACATATGGAAGGTCACAGCTTCCTAAATCCCACCCCACAAGTTGTTTATGCTTGTCTTTTCATTTTTCCTACTGTGAACAAGTGTTTTCTGACTTAAACATGAAAGAGAAGGAGATTCTCAGTGTTCCCTATTGTAAATCTTGGACTTAAATTACTTGTTATGGGAACATGTATGTATGTTGAATATCCATCTGTCAGTGTGCCTTTAATTTAGATTCTTACAACAAGCAGGAAATTGATCTTGATGAGTTAAAGAGCTCTTCTGATTCTGTGATGACAATAGATCTCTGCCTGATAAACCATAGTGAGAAAGCTGTTGTGATTGATCTTCAACTCTGTTTCATAGATCATTACTCACCAGGGACAAAAGAAAGCTACTGCAATGATATCAAATTCTGTTTGCTTGTTTTTTTGTTTTTTTAAAAAATTGCATGCTGCTGAAGAGATGAGACAATGTTATCTTTTCATAACATGCAGGTTGAATATCCTTTATTTATTTATAATACAATTTATAATAAGGCCACCCTAACTCAAAACCATATCTGGGCAGTCTACAATTAAAAATAAAAAAGCATTCAGAATTTTTTAGGAAAAAAAGAAAGGAAAAAGAAAAAGAGACCTTACCAATCAAGACTAACAAGAAAAAAAGAGACCTTACCAGTCATCTAAACTGTGACATGGGCAAGGCTTCATTGCCTTCAGCAATTATTCAGAGAAAATATTTCAGCAGGCAGAGAACTTCTTCCTCTTTAACAAGGAGATCTGGCATATTGTAAGCCATGAAGTTCTCTCTATTAAAACATGCAAAGAACTCCATCATCTATTGCAATGGTCATTTTCTTGATGGCTTCTGTTCCTAAGGTAAAAATTGCAGAGCTGGAAGAAAGGTTGGATAGCTTGAATAAGGACTTCTTGCAGCTCACACAACAGGCCTCAATGACCCAGAAAGAGGAGGAACTTCTAGATCAGGAGCTCAGGATGCTAGAACAATCAGCCTTGCATATGGTAGGCACATTTAATATTTCATTTCATAGGAGCAATAATGGCATTTACTATTGGCTAGCAGCCAGATGGATAGATTCATTTTGTGTGGAGAGGGTTTATGATACGAAGGTGAGGAGTAGGCCAGTGATGCACTATTCATCAAGCCTGCAAGTATATTTGCTACGTAGATACCCAAATTTCTAAGGCTAAACTTTGTCAAGTGCTTCTAAACACTCTAAGCCATGTGACAGGAAATGTCCAGAAGTTGTGATCAATGGCCAAGAATGCATGGCACTTGCACCTCTCTTTGATGGCAGACATTTTGGAGCTGTAAGTTTTGATGCATGCATAGCAAATATGTAGGCTTTGATGAATAACCACATGTCAATACGGATGTCATACAATACTATATATAGTCAAAAATGTGTTTTTCCCACTCCTACTCTTTGCACCTGGAAATTGTTGGAACAGAACAAAATTAGAGAATAGGAGGGAATGCCAAAAATGTTGTTTGGGATGGTTATGTAACCATGAATATTCAACTCTATTAATTTTCAGCCTCCTTTTGGTTTTATCTTTCTTACGGTCTCCCTTCCCATCTGCATTTCACCTGTCTATTATACAGTCTTTGGATGCTCTCCCCAAGGAGGAACCACAGCACTTCTTTGAACTTCTTGAATTGTGTACTCTGAAGAGAGACCAACGTCAACTACTGGAAGCAAAGAAGAAGTTTACTGCACAACAGATCAAAGATGTTGAATCTAAACTGGCTCAACATCTGAATCTTCAGAGTAGCCACCCATCACCAACTGAAGCAAGGGTGACCTAGAACTTTTCAGTTGAGTGGTTTTTTATTCTCACTTAACTGATTTCATTTATTTTTCATTAGGTCTCATTTCTGAACCTGAAAATAACTTAAAGGAAAGAGGCTTATACTTTTCCCCCTTCCCCATTTTCAATGTTTTTCTAACAGATGGAAGTATCTCTTTTTTTTTTTAAGTGGCACATTTTTATCAAAGTGTTGAAACATAAAGTATATGAAAAAAAGCAAATATTGGAATGTGAAGAAAGTAGGGGGGAAAAGAAGATACCAAAAAAGACTATTATATTTAAATTTAAAAAGAAAACCATTGTGGAAAAAAATGAATTATGTTCTCCCCTTCCTTTCCCTTTGTATCCCCAACCATAAGCCATTGTTTAGATAGTTGAACCTTACATCAAACATTAGTAGTTAGTTTCTGTTTAAAAACCATATTCCAGATACCAAAATCTCCCTTGCTCTGGGAAATATTGTGTATAAGGGACTCATTCTTGCTTGAATTTAGCTAAACTTCTGTTGTGAATGTACACTGTCAATTTTGCCATCGCAGCATATTCTCCAATTTTAGTTTCCCATTCTGATATGATAGGCAAGTTATCTGTTTTCCAATATTGTGCTAGACTGATTCTTGTTGAGGTTAACATGTATCTTAGTAAATTGTAATATTTTTCATTTATGTTTTCTGGGATTACACCTGGTTAGAAACATCTGTGGTTGTAGTTAACATTTCAAATTTAAAAAATAAAAGGAATATCGTAACTTTCTGCATTTTTTCCGGTTACTGGCTTCAGCATTTTGGCAGTAGAAGTTGACTTGTGAATTCTGCCAGCACCAAACCTTCATTCCCAAGTGCTTCTGGCTGGATCCAGTGGTTACCTCACTGATATCTTGAGAATAATTATAGAGGTCAAGACTAAAACTGCAAAATAAGCCAATACAATTTTTTTATGGATATACCAGTCTTCTCTTAAAAGATGCTGAACAAAACAATAAAAGTCCAGCATAACTCAAACTAATAAACACCCAAAGACATCTAAAAGAAAAAGACCTACATAAATTCATTGATAACAGGCATCAGTTTAAGAAACATTTTGGTTCTAACACAATATTAGCACACAAATGGCTGGCTAATTGTAATGAAACTCTTGATAACTTGGGGACCAACCACACTTTCCCATATTCAAGGTATCTCCATCACCACCAACCAAAAGGTCTTGCCATTGGCCATACCCAGAGGTGGGTCCACAAACAGACCTTCTCTGGATGTGGCTAGACCTGAGGGAAGCCATCTTTTAAAAATGTAAATCATATGATGTTTAGGGCTTCATATGCTAGGAGTGATGCTTTGAATATGATTCTGCAGTTATGAGCCAACATCCTGATGGGAAGAAAAATTGGAAAATGGGCCGTGTTGTATTGCCCATGGCAAAGAAACAAGAGGATACTGTCATCCAGAATGACACTGGGAGAGAGAGAAAGAGAGAGAGAGAGAGAGAGAGAGGAGGAGGAGGAGGAGGAGAGAGAGAGAG